TCGGAAAAATCAACGGTACTTGATGAACTTCTTTTTTGTCTTAATAAAAAGTTCCATACTTTATCGCGTCAATGATTTTAACTTTTTCAAAGAAGTTCAAAACCTTTTAACGAGTAGTAGGTCGTCAACAACGATAGGAAACAATTTGTGTGATTTTCTGGCAAGGTACGTTTTTCACGTCCGCGACAGGCAACGCGCCGCTTGTACACCGAGAACAGTCGTAATTGGTTATGCCAGGGGCCGGCGGTATAGCGCGTTGCGTGGCGCGACGCGAAAAATCCTGGGGAAAAGCAAAAAACAAACATTTTTTAAACTTACCACCTCCCTCAGCGTTTCTTCCAGCATAAACATTTCATGGTCAAGCGCCGCACGGGCACCGCGATTAATATGATAGACCGACTCCAGTTTGCATCTAAAGAATATCTCTCTCTCGCTCTCTCTCTCTCTCTCTCTCTCTCTCTCTCTCTCTCTCTTTCTCTCTCCTCTCTCTCTCTCTCCCTTAAAGGGCTAGTTCAACTTTTAGGCGGGGGAAAAGAATGTCTCTGCGCCTCTCCCCTGGGCGCCCTCTTTCGCCGCTGCATCTGTTGAACCCCCCTCCCCAATCGGGGTTCAACAGATGCCGTCCTCATCTCTTTAATCGAAAACCAGGGTTGAAAAACCGCTTCGCGGCTTTTCAACCCTGGCCCCGTCTCGGTCCCCTAACGGTCTCCCCTTTGTATAGGTCTGACCGCACCCGCTTGGTAAAAAAAAATGAAAAACATCTCCTTTGCTGGTTAATATAGATTTCATCCACTTCCGGCGAATGCAAATTGTCGCTTAACAAAGAGGGGTGACGGGATTTTACCGAAAATATCCATTTTAGTATCGAAAATAGGTTCTTTTGTAAAATCTTTTAGGTCGGCAGTCATGCCAAGCTAATTTCCCACCTAATGACATATCTCCCATGCCTTAAAAGCTTTTCCCTGGCCCGATACATGCGGAACAGCCGGACGGAAGTTGCATGCAAATGCACACACACAGACACTATTTTTTTTATATATAGTAGGATAGTAGGATCATCTAATCGACAAATCGTCTGATCAAAAACGTCTGATCAAAAACGTCTGATTGAAAACTGCCAAACCCTCAAAAAAATATAAAATTGTCTAAAAACTTATTTTTAGATTTTTTCGTGATGTCTTTAAAACGTTTTTTGTGGCTGAATACCAGCATGCAACCTATTTTTTTTATGTCGCCTAGTAAGTACAGGTGATTTTCGATTACGTGACGGGGAGTATCTCTATATCTCTATCGCATACCCAAGTCCGTGTTGTGTCGTATGAGCACCTAAAATTAAAGCATCGTTTGTTATGCGCAAAACATACCCAACAAAATAGCCGCTAACTGCTCGACATCCGCCATTTTCTTTCGATCCATTTGTGAATCAACTAAATAAAAACTACGAACTAAGCCACACTTTTTAAAAAAGATAGATTCAAAGGTTCAAATTCAAATTCAAAGGAAGATTCAAAAATATTTTGTTATTAAAGTCTATTATCGATCCGGTCCGGTCCGTTATGCAAATTGCAGTCCGGACCGGACCGGACCGGACCGATTCGGACCCATTTTGACCATGCCTGATCCTAACCTCTATATAACCGTGTCCCGATCCTTCAGCATCATTAATACTCTTCTCTTTTCGTCACAATTATCTTCTTTCTCTGCTTTGTTTTCATACCATATTCCCTCAGGATAAGCGTTTCTTATTGGCGCCTCAGTGTTGAATAAATTAGCGTACCATCGCGAAGAGCATTGATATGATCCGGCGCCCTGGTCAGTCCGATGATGTAGTCTGAAAAAGGTGCCAGTCGAGGGGGGGGGGTCGGGCAGGTGAGACAGATAAATGAAAATTTTGCATCGACTACAAAAACCGAGGTAAGACTGTGCAGGCTGTCTCATAAATAGACCCCCTCCAGCGACGGGGTTGTCACCGATTTCTGCGATTTAGGTATGTATCGAAAGCTTGCAATCGCCGATATTCTCTCCGATTTTTGAAATTCCAGAATTATGTTACGACCAGCGCCGACCTCCCGCTCCGCGGGGATTCAGCGCTGGCCGTCCCGGGCAGGAAAAAAGCGACACCAAACGGCTCGAGTGAAAATTTTCGTCCCGAAGCGCGAGCCACCTCGTCCTCCCCTCCGGCAACTACCCACGCCCAATCAAACCCATACATAGATTTTCGGCGGTTTGGGGGGATGGCTATGGGACGCTACTACAGGGTGGCTAGAAAGTATTTGCCGCGGGGAAAGCTCCTTAAGAAATTCTCAGTGTCCGGCTTCTTTGCCATTTTATAACCAAAATGTAGCGAACAGACCCCTCTTTACGACTATCAAAAAGACTAACACCCTAGACCTCAAATTTTTAAGATACAGTCCTCTAGAGGTGCCTCCAAACATGGGCCTGCGCCGCACGTATTTTGACTTTAGTGTTAATCTTTTCAATTTTTTCTTGCAACCAATCAGAACAGAAAGTTGGATTTTTGTTTATCGCAAGGCCCTTTATTGGACGTATCAACCAGAAAAATTTGTTTAAACCGTCTCGAAAAGCTTTTCGCTATTTACTTGAGCGCCTAAAAGGAGCCGACCAAGGTGTTTTTGGAGCACAAATACAAAATGTCTTCAATAACCACATTTTTATGCGGAAAATATTATTTCTTTTGTGAACGGAATAAAACCAACCGCGTGGATAGGAAAAACACATTGGATAGCCGTAACTAAAATTATTGCGGGCACAAAATAATAATAAGTTGCACTTTCTTGCCGTTCGCTTCGAACGATCTTCAAATGCTTGAGGCCGGCGTTTTCAATTATTTTGGTCCTAGTCAAAGTGTCAGCCTGCTAGGCTTATGCATTCGCTATATTTTAGTAGTAAATTTAGGGCAAGCTTTCGAATTAATGATTTTTAAAATCCATTTTTGTGCGGCAGATGGTTGCAGCCACGAATATCAGCGCACCCCACTGGCAAAATTTTATTTTCACTTCCGTGATCCATCTAAGTCTCGCGGTGCCCCGAGCATAATTTTTTTAGATAGTTTCGTTAATGGTTTCTACGATACAGCACCGGAAAAGAATAAGATATCCCCTAAGAAATTTTTCGAAGCCTTCGAAAGTGCCGAAAACCAATACAAAAAACGAGGTTTTATGTATTTCAGTCTAAATAAAATTATAGGAGCAAGAATTTGCTTGTTTTTATATATCAATCGATAGAGCGAAAAATTCTCTTCCGAATGCACCCCATTAATGCACCTGTCGTTGGAATTTTAGTAGATTAAAACCAGCGCGAAAGCGCGGCAAATACTTTCTAGCCACCCTGTAGTTACTTACCGACAGTGCCGGCACTCAACATTGGTTTCGAATGATTTAGTTGGGTAATCGGACAGGCAAGTGCCAAAGATAAGCGTAATAAAATATAATTTGACCATACAGGGTGCCCCAAAAAATCCCCCCCTACCTAGCGGGCCGGAGACGTGTCCGATTTTTACGATTTTGGTATCTATCGAAAGCTCTCGACAAGACGAGTCCAGCACGCCTTTCGAAATTTTGAAATTCCGGATTTTTTCTTCCTTTTACTAATATTTTTGCAAAAAGGGCCGCATTTCTGATCCGTTTCGGATAAAAGGGTTTTTTTACAAAAATCACATTTTTAAAACATTGTAAGTTTTCACTAGGCTATCTCATTCCCATGGCCGTTCGCTACACACCAATACAAACGACTCAGAAAGGCGCGGCAAATCCACCCAATTTCAAACGAAATAAAAAACGCCTTCGTCAGCATACTTTCTAAATTCCGTTTTGTTAGTGCTTAACATCATTAGAATCGCCGTGGTCTATTCTACAAAGTCGGAATTCGGGTTTTTTAAGATAGGCCATATCTTTCAAGATACGAGCCTCCAAAGTTTTGACCCCATACATTTTCTTGACGAACGGAGTGCTTCGTTGCCGCGCCCTTACACCGCCAAGATTTCGGGGCGTGTACCGAATTTAGGGGCTGGCAGCGGAATTGAATTCCTGGAGGGGCAGACTGACATTAGAAATTTATACATATACCAGGGTTGAAAAGCCGCTTCGCGACTTTTCAACCGTCTTGGACCCCATGCTATGCCGCCCTTTGCATAATTGTACTTCATCCAGAAGGCAAAAAAATGAAAAACAACCCCCTCTGCCTCTTTATATAGACGACCGCCCACTTCCGGTCTATGCTAATCATTCCTAACAAAGAGGTTTTTACAAAAACCTAAATTTAATAGCGAAAATGGCTAATTTTTCAAAATCTGATATGTGTGCAGTCATCCCTAGACCATTACGCATCTAATGATGTATCATACGTAGCCTAATACCCGTCCCTTCTTGGGATATCCTCCGGACAGACAGACGGAAGTGGATGCAAAGTGGCACACACACACAGACACTATTTTTTTATATATAGTAGGATAGTAGGCTTTTGGACTTTTTCAGGGCAGTCAACCCGTTTTTTAAAAAAAAAGTGAGTTTTCCTGAGAAAAGATATCGATTCCGGAAGCCTAGCATACTCGGAAATCGGATCTGTCAAGAATACGGGATCCAAAAAGCCCCCCCCCCTTTTTTCGGCATTTGGGCGACTTCAATCTGACCGGGCCACAATTTTTACCAGCGATACGGCACCATGAAAACTACGTGCGGCCGGAATTTGAAGGCAAAATATGGTAAAACACAGAAGCTATCGTTAAAAACTGTTTTTTTGGAACAATTTTGGAACATTCTTATTTTTTGCTAAACATTTCAAGATCACAATCAATCAACTTTGCAGTCAATTAAGCAAACTAGAAAGCTATAACTTTTTTGTTTTGCCCACTTTTGCTTTTGAAAGTTCGCTGCACCTAGTTTTTATAGGTGCCCATCGCTGGTAAAAATTAGGCCAGGTCGGTTAGAGGTCGATCAAATGCAGGGGGGTGTTACACCCTGCAGATCTACATACGCGTGTCAACGATTATAAGCCTTACTGGTCTTGGCGTCGTGATAGAATCGTGCGAGGTCGGGGCCCGGCTTCCGCACTGCAATAAAATAGTGCCAATGTTTGGAAACACCCCGGAACCGAAAAACGACACAAAAAAAACCGAATGATACATCCAATTTACGTGAGTCTGTCGGCAACCTACGTTTCGACTCGACCAGTCTCAAGGCCTTTAGGGCATCAACGGTGCGTTGGACGAGCGCCATAGTAGGCATCGGGCACATGTCGACAAAGTGTCTCCAAATTATCTGAAAAAATTGTAGGCTGCCAGAAAGCGGGGTCAGTTACGCGCAACGTTGCTAAGTGGTCGAATCTCCGGCACTGCCATAGAAAGTCATTTTTCTTCCTGTCCATCCGGTCGGGAAAGTGGAACAGACTTTCGAAATTGCTTTCAATCGCGACGAGCCGGTCTAGTACTGCCTGAGGGCCGGAAAATTAACCTAGACACGACGGTGGATTTACCGAATTCCAATCGCGCACCATCGACACAGTTTGCACAAAACCGGCTGGACGCCATATATTTCCCATCTCTGAAATATATATAAAAATTTTGACGAGGGTTTACTTGACCTATCCCCCCCCGGCCGCGTAGCCCAAGGGGTCCTAGAATTTTCGACCTTTTCGCTAGTTTTCGTGGATTTTTTCGATCCCTTTCGATGACGTCTCGAAAAACACACTCAGAGTTTCAGATTACGGCTTAAGCTGGATGCAATATAGAAAAAACACAGCAAAAACAAAAATGCCCTCTCGATACATCTCGATATCTAGAAAAACCAGATCGCAATAGCCGAAAACAGCTGGCTTTGATACATCTGATATGGGTGCACTAAGCTCGTGGCCATTACGCACCTAACGACATACCAAACACATCTTCAAATCGGAAACTTTCGAAAAATCGTGAGAAATCAGAATCGCTAAAAATCAGAATCTCTAAAAATCAGAATCCCTAAAAATCAAATCTCTAAATTCCGGAACCTCTAAATGCAGATTTTTGCACAAATTGGAACTGTAATGCGCTTTTACCCAAAGTCGCCGGTGAAAACTTTTCTGAGGTACTTTTTTGCGCTCAGTGAACACAAGGTTGAAAGGTGGTTTCCACATACGGGCATGAATCGAGGGTCTTTTGCTTACACCCTCGACTTGACAAAGCTTTATAAGCGTTTGAACTCCGGGATTGCCGGCCAATTATAAAGGTCTTGTAATTTTTGCAAACCTGAATCTCACTAACAATAAGCTTTCGAATTTAAGGCACTGCAAATACCGCTCCGTAAATTCGCCACAAACTTATTTCGCGTTCCTTCAGCCGCGCCGTTAGCCGTCTAATTGCGTCCACATCCGGAGAGTCGGGCTAAAAATGACAAGGGATTGGAACTGAAAATTCGGGCCTTCATGAAGCCGCAAAAATTTCCGAAATTTCGCAAATCGCAAAAAATTCCGTGGCCCCGTTCTTTTAAGTCCAGATGGTGGCAAGCCGAATAGCTAAATATCTAATGCTGACTAACCGGAATTCCCTGCTTCACACCGCGAGCAATGAGATTTCCGATGGGTTCTCCCATGATCAGAATCGAGTCGACCATCCCGGCCAGTTTTCGGCTCCTTTCGCTGGCATCAACACCAGGTTGATTTCTTTCCCATTCTTCCATGTATTCCGAGAATCCCTCCGATACTGAAAGCTATTCTCTGGCCCGTAATTTGCAATTTCTTCTTTTCCCACTTCCCCATCCGGGCGGAAAAAGCAAAAAAAGACTTGGGGCCATTGGGGTATGGTTCGAGAAAAGCTTGCAAACCTCCTTTAATTACTGTCAAGTCCTTGAAAAGTTGCATAGAAACCCTATAGGAAAATAACTAATTGTGAAATTAACACTATAAAGGCGAAACATGAGATTATGGGCGAAAAAGGTGCTTTTGGCTGGGAATGCGGTTTCTAGTTTATTTATCGTCTGTATGGTTGGTTTTTCTGCCATTTATCGAGTTACCTAATGGAATATAAAAGAGCATGGTGGAATTAGTCGGCATTTATCGAAAGAAGAAACTAATAAGGATATATGGTAAGAGTCTAGAAAACCCCCCCCCCCCCCCCAGCCGGCACCAACTTTTGTATCTCGGCCCCCCTTTGTGCTAGCGTGCTCTAAAGTATACCAAAATGTTCGCCGTAGGCTAATTAGTAAGACTACATTGCAGTTCAGTCGAAAAAAGTAGCGAAAAATAAAAATAAGGAAGGTAGAAAAGTTGAAAAATCGGCTGGGGGGGTTTCCTAGACTTGAGCCGGATATATTGAGTCTGCAGGCTAGTTTCCCTTACCAGCGGGCTATATTATAGGTACACTAAAAACTCGTTTAAAAAAAAGTGGATCGCGGTCGGGAATTTGGGCCCTTTGCCGTCGCCGGGGCCGACCCTTCATATCGCCTCTCCGCTTCCCCTATGCCGTCTGTCCCATGGCCCATTTGTCCATGGCGCTTGCCCCAGGGAGGTGGTCTGGGTTCGGTTTTGCTCCTCGGCGAGCGCCTACCGTAACTCCGCCTCCCCTGTAGACCTGTAGACCAACAGGAAGCCGAGAGCCGAAAGTTTGGGGCCGGCTGGGTTTTACCTTACAGGGTGCCCAACCCCCCCACCTAGCGGTCCGCAGTCGCTTCCGATTTTTACGATTTAGGTATCTAGACTGCTCTCGAAAAGACGAGAAACAGGGAGGGTTCATTTTCTTTATTATGTATTTTTATTTGCGAATTTTAGGTCCAAAAACCCTGAAAAGTGCTGATTTATGCGAGATCTGCATGCTATTGCGAAATTCCTGTTGAAAAATGGCCGCTTTTTTTTTAGAAAAACCTTAAATATTGATGGAATGAGATTAACACCCTGTAGTTTTATTAAATTTTACTGTTTTTTATGTAACGACAGCGCGGCCTTTGCTATCTAGCGGGCGGTTACCGGCCGGTAACCAAGCCCACGAGACGTTAGTGTACCTTTAAGGTTTTTCTCTTACCAGTGCAACGAATTCCATCCGTGCGCTTGCCCCCCCCCCCCACCGGTAAAAAAAAAAGCAGAAATTCCGCCGGAACGAAGAGAGAGCAGTTCGGCTTTGTGTGCCTTTGTGTGTTTTGTGTTGCGTAAGGGACTTACGGTCTCGTCCCTTGACTCTCATCATCATTAGTGCCAACAGCGCTATCATCGTATTACAGCGCCATGCCATTTTTAACTCACAACAAAGCGGCCACTTCACCCGCTTCTCCTGCAAGGTCAAAACATCTCACGAACGGAAACGAATCGGACCATGCCTTTCGAGAATGCTTAAATATCCTGGGCATGAAGAATTAACGAAAGTTGTTTTTTTATGATTATTGACGACCAAAATTAACTCGTTAAAAACTTTTGAAAATTTTGAAAGCAGAGAATTTTCAAGCGGAAAATCCTAGCACTTTTGATGAGTTACAGGCCCATGAGGGGTATCAAAATGAAGCTCTCGGAGTGCGCTATCAAACTAGTGGTAAAGAATATCGATCGGTTTAACTTGCCGTCAATAGGAAATTCGGAAAATCTGGACTGCAGGCTTACTGCAGGCTTATTAAATCCTACTATATATAAAAAAATAGTGTCTGTATGTATCACTTTGCATGCAACTTCCGTCAAGTTGTTCCAATAGTATCTCAATAAAGGAAAATAATTTTAAAGGTGCAAACCGCGCTCGTTCAAAAACCCAGGCCCGCGCTAGGAATTCAGCTGTCCGGCGGCCTCGCGCGCCGATCCTTCATAACCAGGGTTGGTGATTTGAATAATTAATAATTTTTATGGACAATTGACATTAATGAAAAACCAGCGCCAGCGCAAAATTTTTTAAAATGGGAAGAAGAGAGAAGTTTCGTAGAAGTAAAAACCGGTCTTAAAAACAGCCATAAACAATTTTATTTTTATTTATTTTATTTAATTATTTATTTATTTATTTTATTAGAATTAAGTTTATGTTGAAAAATCGGGCACCCTTTTTGTTACGGAGCGATTAGCATACGCATGAAGTGGGGCGAGCCTACAGGGTGTCCCAATAAAAAAACACCCCCCCTCTAACTCGACGCAGAAGTATCGGATCGGAATGATGGTTACACCATTCAAAAGCCCTTTAAACGGCCAGTTTGCAACAATCTTCAAAACCATCTTGTTATTTAAATGCGCTATTTTACGAGCCATTTTGTAAAATTTTCCGGTTTTTTGGGGTTGCATACGAGCTAATTTGCCTCAAATTTTCCATACAAAATGACCGGAAGTAGCCGTTAATTAGATGCAGAAGTCGTCCCTTAATGTTTTTAAATGCTTTGTAAAATGGCTGGTTTAAATTAAAACATGGTTTTGAAGATTGTTGCAAACTGGCCGTTTCAAAGGCTTTCAAATGATGTAACTTCCATTCCGATCCGATACTTCTGCGTCGAGTTAGAAGGGGGTGTTTTTTTTATTGGGACACCCTGTATATAACGCTTTTGAACCACGGTTAAATTTAAATAACAAATTGCATCCGCCGGAACTGTGGGGTAGCTTATATAAAGGGAAAGAGGGGGTGTTCCTTTTTTTTGGGCTCAGGATTCGGGAAGAACTATGCAAAGTGAAACTATCTTCGGGCCGAACGGGGTTAGGGGTGAAAAGCATAGCAGATTTTCTAATTTGGCCAGAACTTTAAAAACTAATTAAAAATGCGTCCTTTAATTAAAAGGGCTCAGGACGGTCGATGTTTATCAGCATCAGCACAAAATCGGTGACACGAGCGAAAGGGTTCGTCCCTGTCCGGGATATCTGCTAACCAGATGGTTACAGTCGCTTCGCCTTCGGGCTAGCCTACATGTCCCACTCCACCACATCCTTTCCCACCTCCATAAATACCCCCCCATAGCCGAAATCCCCTTCAAAAACTACCTAAATACCTTCCTGATGGCTTCAGATACCCCCCATGGCTGAAATCCCCTTCAAAAACTACCTAAATACCTTCCTGATGGCTTCAGATACCCCCCATGGCTGAAATCCCCTTCAAAAACTGCCTAAATCCTTTCCCGATGGCTTTAGATGATTTAAATAATTAATTAACATAAATAAAAAGTATTAAAAAGTATTAAAGAAACTAAAAAAGCTATCTGGGCGCGGGAAAGGGCCTGGGCAGGGGGGGGGGCAGGGGTAAGGGGCGTGGCATGCCGGGAAAGGATCCCCCACTCCATTTACTAAGGAAAAACTTTCAAAGTTAATTTTAATAATTTAAACTAAAAGTTTTTCATAATTTTTTTATCAGTTTGGAGGTTTCTGAGGGCGCTCTATGCGAATCCGAAGAGAGCTAAGCTCTAGCTCCTTTTCCCTTCGAGTTGAATCCGGGACATGACGGACAGACAGACAGACGGACGGACGCGTCAAGAAAATTATTATAGTTGATTTCCAAACAGCCTTGATCAAAACAGCATCATTATTGCCCAAATGTTCGATAAAGTTAGTAGTTAAAGTTAAAGAGTGCGGGTAAGCGTTAGAGAGGAGTTAGAGTAAGAGTTAAAAGTTAAAGACACAATGTGCCATGACGGCCCAGCCAATCGATCTCACAACGTAGCATGGGAGGAACAAAACAGAACAGTTTATGAGGACCGCCAGCTGGTGGGGCAAATGTTGCCTTCCATTGGGCAGATGGTCCCCACATTTAGGGATAATGCCTGCTTCTCAATCGAGCGCGTGGATGTTAACAAAAAGCTTTGGAAAAACCCTTTCAACTACGGTACAAACAACAGCTGAGCTGCGCCTAGACGTCAATTGAAATGACTCGGAAAAGCCGAAAATGATACTTTTCTGCATTATTGGAGCCCTTCAAATGATTATCGAATGGATTACGGCATTCCAGAAAAACAGACGCTACGGTACCCTGAGGCGTCTCGAGGACTGGAGCGGAAAAATGTAGTAAACGAGCTTCTTGCATTTTTGAGCTTTAAAGGGGCTCCGAAATCTGGTCCACGGCCCCCTGCTGTGATTCCTGGCAAATTGCCAGATGCGGCCGCAACGCGACCGCGCCGCATGGTCTTTTGCCCCCGTTTGGACCCGAAAACTCTTGAATTTAAAAATTCTGATGCTATTTTTGGAATCTTCACCGAATTTTGATCATTCCAGACTTTTAAATTATGAAAATTGACCAGAGAATCACCGAGATCGAGAGATTGGGTGTCTTACAAGGCATTACGACATGTAATCGTCGCACACTCAAAAACTCGTTTTCGCCCCGAGAACATTTCGGTTTTACTCAAATATTTGACGTTTTTTTGCAACGAAAACAGTTTTGTTGTACTCCTCGGCAGTGACTCTTTCGTTTTTTGACCAGTAGGTTCAATCCCCGCACGCGCGAATTTTGACTTCTGAGCCCCTTTAAGGGTACAGTCTGCTCTTTTTTTGAATGGTTTAGGATCTTGGACAAGTTTCGTTTTTTTCCAAATAATTTGCTGCCTGCGGCGCTATTTTTCACGTTTTTGCTGCTATTTGTAGAGCTGTGTAGCCTTTTTTCCAAAATTTTTCGCCTGCGGCGCTGTTTTTTTCGCTAATTTTTTGAGTTTTTGGAAAAAAATTTTCGGGGCCCCCCCGAAATTTTTTTTCTGGCTATGCCCCTGAATGTATGATGTAATGTGAAAATGAAAAAATTTAGCATGGTGAAAATTTTGGATTGTCAAAATTCGGCATAGCGACATTCGATATAGCGAAACTTCGGCATAGTGAAAATTCGGTATAGCGAAAATTCGGCATAGCGGAAATCGGCATGGCGAATGGGCGTCACTCGGAAAATCTGGAAAATCCAAATTTTGGAAACCTTAAAAATTGCTTTCGGATGCGATGCGATATAGGGTTGGGTTTTGGCGCAACCGGTTTCCGATCGATCGCTTTGCATATCCTAAACGATTAAATCGTTGGACGAAAACCGGTTTCCGGCTTCGAACCGATTTAAATCGGTTCAGGAGGCAAAACCGGTTTTTGCCAGGCTCGGAAATCGGTTCGGGGTAAAAAAACCGGTTTTTCACGATTCGGTCCCGGAAGTGAAACCGGTCGTTATGCAAATCCCCAGCACACTTATTAGTCAAATTGCGGTAATGTAAAGCCTCAATTTTCATAAATTTTTGGGAATCGAGTTCTGTCTTACAAGGGAAGTGCAAGACGGGCCCACGCGAAATCGACACGCGACGTAGTGGATCTGATAGAATCGGACACGGGGATTCCGAATCTGTAATCAGAATCTGCTAAATAAAACGGAGAAAAAAGTTATGAAGCTTCAAAGTTGGCCAAATCGCCGGAAACGGTAACTTTAAGGGCCCGTAAAAGCTGGGAGAACGGAATTGAGCAGAAAAGAGTTAGTATATCTTGTTCAGCAAAAAAAGCTCTTTCGAATGAGCTGTAATACGTGCCATTTGCAAACAATTCACCGAAAAAGGGTTTTTGGATTCGCGGGCAAGGGTATGGCCGGTACACTAAAAGCTCGTTCAAAAAGTTCGGTGGCGGTAGTAAATTTGGGCTCTTTGCCGCAACTAAGTCGGCCCCTTCTTATCGCCTCTCCATCTTCCCCTTCCCGTCTCTCCCTTGGCCTAGTGGTCCAAGGCGCTGCCCCAAGCTGGCAGTCAGGGTTCGGTTTTGCTCCGCGGCGAGCGCCTACCGTAACGCTGTTTGCTATCCTGCGGACGGTTACCGGCCGGTAACCAAACCCACGAGACTTTAGTGTACCTTTAAAGGTACCGTTTTTGGCGATTTGGCTAACTTTGAAGCTTCATAACTTTTTTCTCCGTTTTATTTAGCAGATTCTGATTACAGATTCGGAATCCCCGTGTCCGATTCTATCAGATCCACTATGTCGCGTGTCGATTTCTCGTGGGCCGGTCGTGCACTTCCCTTGTTAGCTTGTTAGCAATGTATGGTCTCAGAGACAAACGATTAGAACGTCATATTAAACGCTGGTGCGAGCCTGGAGCGCTTCAAAATGATCGAGTACAATCTAAGGCTATCAGTAACAGTCGGGTCCGGGCGTGAAAGCGGGAAAATACCTTGCCTATCTAGAACTGTGGCCGAAAAGACAATCGTAAACGACTGGTAAAGTCCGAACAATCAAGTAGCAATCAGGCTGTCTGGGTTGATTAGAATTAATATTATTTGCATAAAGACCGGTTTCACTTCCGGGACCGAATCGTGAAAAACCGGTTTTTTTTACCCCGAACCGATTTCCGAGCCTGGCAAAAACCGGTTTTGCCTCGTGAACCGATTTAAATCGGTTCGAAGCCGGAAACCGGTTTTCGTCCAACGATTTAATCGTTTAGGATATGCAAAGCGATCGATCGGAAACCGGTTGCGCCAAAACCCAACCCTAATGCGATACACCATAAGTAGCCTATCTGAAAAAAAACACGTCTGTTCGTTCAAGTAAACGTTAAAAGACGATACAGTGCCCCAGTCGTCTCGGAAACTCGAAAAATCGATGTCTCTGAAGCACTTTATTAAAACGCGGGGGATGGGCAGCGGGGGCAATCGATCGATATTTCCGATGGGCGAGGCAGGGGGCAGAAAATCCATCAATAAATCGGATCAATACATCAATCAGACAGAGAAATGGGGACGGGGGAAGGGGGGAATTATCGATTTTTCTGCCGATTTATCGATCGTGTGGAGGGGGCCGGGCCGCGGGTTACGGTATCTCTTCGTCTTGTTGCGCTTTTTCTTCTCGTTGGTCTCCTCCTACTTCTGGATCACCGACTCTTTCATCTGAAAATCATGCTGTATTTTTTGTTAAATTGTTAATGCTGAAAATAGTTAGATTTAACACTTTTTTTTGCTCATACTACTAATTACCTTAGGCTTCAAACTCTAAATTAAGGGCTTGAAATTAAATTGGGTTGGTTTAATCAAAAAAATTGTGAAAAGCTCATCTAAAAAATTGTAAATTTAGTTGTGATTTTTTGAATTTTAAAATCTTAAAATTAATTCCATTTTAAAAAATTAAGCTTTTTAATTGAATTTGCATCTATCAAGTTTTTCATGTCTTAATTTTTAAAACTTTAACGTAATTTTTTAAATTGGAACACACTTGTTTGAAAATTGAGTTTTCGCAGTTGAAAAATTCAGAATACAATTTTCGCTAATTTAGATTACATCTATAGCTTTTAATTTTCGATTTTAAAAATTTTAAACGATTTTTCAATGTCAACGGATTTTAAATCATTTAAATTTACAATTTAATTTATTTAAAAATCCACTTAAATTTTCATTTAATTGGATTTTTAAATCTAAATTAAATTTATACAAATTAAATTCGTACCTTTTAAAGACAATTTTAATTTTGAAAAATTGAGAAAAATTTCGAACGTACACTCGAGTCCAAATTGACGTCATCCTTGCAGTGTAGCGGTAGATAGTCATTCGGATCGGTGGGTGGCTCGTGGCCGCCTCCAATTTTGATGCCCATCCACGTCTTTCCGCCCTTTCCGCCCTCCCCGTCCATGGCGGAGCATTGCGTAGCGTCAATCGGCAGGCGGCTGGTCGTCTTTTTGTGCTTGCTGTGGTGCCCTTTTCCATTAGCGGGGGGTGGGTGGTTGTCGGCTTGTTTTCGGGAGGAGGACGACGCCGAGGAGGTCGATGGGCTGGAAAATCGACAAATTTTTGGGCAAATGGTCTCCGCTAGTTTGCCCCGAGGGTGTAAATAGGCTAACTGGCAGACAGAAAAGCTAATTTCGCTTCTCAAATGTTCTCTGCTAGCTTGTCTGACTTTTTGAATGGCTATTTTGTTAAGCTGGCATCCAGTTTGCATATTTTCGGTTCCAAAATTTTCTTTGCTAGCCTGCCTGCCGTTTTCTATCGCTATATCGCCAAACTGGCACGCAGGGTCTATGGTTTTGATTCCGAAATGATCACTGCTAGCTTGCCCACGTTTTTCAAAAGCTATTTTGCCAAGCTGGCTCCCGGTCTCTCGATTTTCGTTTCGCAAATGATCTCAGCTAGAATGCATGTTTTTAAACGCGGAAAATCGCCAAACCGGCAGTCGGACCATCGATTTTCGCTTCCCAAATGATCTTTGCTAGCTTGCCACGTTCCCTGATCCCCCGAATGCCTTACGTGCTCTTTCCACTGCCCCGCTTCCGCCACAGCAGCCAGAAGATGACGGCAAAGATGGCGATCAGCAGCAGGAGCACTGAAAATTGGTCAATCTTTGTAGTTTGTAGTTTGTAGTCTGCAGTCTATTTGACAGGCTACAAACCACCTAACAAGGCAAAACTACAGACCACAAAATTAAAATCACGGGGCGCGAGCCAGTTTCTATAGCCTGTAGCCTTGAAGTCATACTACAAGACGAAAACTACAAAGTTGACGCGTAAACCATAGGTTCTAGACTACAAACTACAAAATTTGAGGGTCGTAATTACCAAACTACAGACTACATATTTTGAGGCTAAACTATCAATAAATCAATAAAACGCTAGAAACTACAGGAACTGAATTTCCGTAGGCTACAAACTACAGGGTGTCCCAAAAGAAGCACCCCTCCGGCATTTCGCCGTATTACATCCGAACAGTCTCAAAATTGGACTGGAGGTGTACCAGACCCTAAATAACCACAATCCTGAATTATAGCCCGATCACTACAGTAGATTTTGAGTTATCGCCGAAATACTGCTTTTTACGTGGTTCTTAACAATTTTTTCGGCTATCTTTTTGGACTTTGCATCGATTTGCATCGACTTCCGGCTGCGAATCCCTAATTTCGCTTAATATCGGGGGTGACTTTGCGTTACAAAAATTGTTGAAATCAACGGTTATTTGATTAATTTTATTCAGAAAAAATCTTTAGGGGTAAAGAAGGCTTGCCGCTTCATTTTAACTTAATATTCGATGGGTCGATTCCGACGAAAACCATATGGAAAACGGATAATAAAGTTTATTTTTGTTATATCTCGAAGATTACAGTAGCTGGCGGGCTATAATTCAGGATTGTGATTATTTAGGGTCTGATACACCTCTGGTCCAAATTTGGGACAGATCGGATGTAATATGGCAAAATGCCGGAGGGGTGCTTTTTTATGGGACACCCTGTACAGACTACAAGTTACACCACACCTCCAATGACGAGCACCGCCCACCACGCCGATGGACCCTCCTCATCGGGGAGACGGGTGAATGTCTGTAATAACAGGGTCGACACCTGCCACGGCTACCGTACCTCCGGATCGGAATCTCCTCCCTGTAGTTTCGGGCTGACAAAGACCGATGGATCACGAAGGGAGAACGGGTTTGTACGGCAATTCAGGAATCGATCTTGCGCCACGATGGCTGCTTGCTCTTTCTGGAAATGATGGATTCAGAGAGAGAGAGAGAGAGAGAGAGAGAGAGATCGAGAGAGCGAGAGCGACTGAGAGAGTGAGTGAGAGGGAGGGAGAGCGGGTGCAGAGAGAGAGCGGGAGAGAGAGAGAGGGAGAGAGGGAGAGAGGGAGAGACAGGTAGAGAGAGAGAGAGAGAGAGTCGTGAGTCTTGTAAAAACCAACCGGCAATTTCCCCTTGATGCACTTCGGATATCTGTATAAATTGCTATCATTCGCTTCGGGTGTCCATCCGATGCGCAGATTCTCCTCTTCCGTCAGGAAAGTGGCGAACGGTGGCGACTGCAAAATTCAGGGATTGGTGCGTTATCGGGGGGGTAATTTAAGAAAAGTAGAATTTAATGGTACTGCACTGTCAGCGGGGGGAGGGCATTTTCAAAAAATTCCAGTACCAAAATCTTTACGGAAGCCGAGCCGGGAAAGTCCAAAATTAATTCCTTGCCGGCCCCTTTAAAGCTACGGTATCCCCTCCAAAGCTACCGTACCCTCTGCCGGAATGCGGTGTAGATGTGCCCATCGGAATCGAGTACATCATACGGGATGCAATGTGGATACATGCCCGTCCCATTGTATCGACAGATCATCTGGCAGCCAGAGCTTTTCTCCTTAAGCGTCTCCGACGTCATCACGGCCCTCACCTCATCCGGCCACCTCAATTCGTGGAGTTTGTAGTTTGATAGGAGTTTGCAAGGCATGCTAGCAGAGATTCTTTGAGGAATTGGAGGGGATGGACGGGGGCAGGCTAGCAGAGATTCTTTGAGGAATTGGAGGGGATGGAGAGGGGAAGGCTAGCAGAGATTCTTTGAGGAATTGGTGGACCGTACCAAGATCCGCATACGGCTCTGGGAATTTCTCCTTTGGGTGTGGGACGCCTCGGATTCATCGGTGAAAATGGGACGTCCTTGGAGAAGGTGACCAGTTCGAGGGGAAAGATGTTGTCGGTGGCATTTAACTGCGAGAATCCGGCGGCGATATGCAGGCTTGGCACACACGTCTTCAGCTCCGCTATTTTCCTGGAAGCATTTTTAAGTTTTCTAAGGGATCATAAAGTTTCTGGTTCTTTCGCATTATCGGGGGGAACGTAGTTTTTCCCATACGCTTAGAAATGGCTAGAAACACGTGTAATAATAAAACTAATAGAATTTAAGTTTATTTAAAATGGAAAAAACTTCACAAAACTTACATTTAACAAAATAAAATCGGTATTTTGCCAATAATCGGGTTTTTTGGCCCAAATTTTGTATTTGTTTTTTAATCAATACCATTTTTGTTAGTAGTAGCTCCGGAATAGTAAAAAAAACACTTTGGGAACCGCTGCCGCAATTTATCTTAGAAAACTGCGATACTAAGAAAAAAGCCCCCCCCCCCGATCATATAAAAACGCCTCGTTACCGTATAAAAACGTATAAAGGCAAAATGTAAAAATGAAAAAGCATCCCTTACCATAAAAAACGTCCCCCCCCCCGCTAAACGCTCAGTACCTAAAGGGCCAAAAGCACCCACTGTGGCACGGTGAAGCCGGCATCGCAATGCAGATAGTAGTCGGTGGTGAGTATCGGAGCTGCCGGGTCGTAGGGTTTGGCCCGGGCGCTGCGAGGGGGATGTATTGTTGCGGAATGGGTAAACTGGCATACATTTGAGCCATTGGACATTTCTTGTCGATGAGCATTTGTCGTGTGCACAGATTGAGGGGGAACAGGACCCATTCTCCTGGCGCGACTTCCACTGGGCGAATGCACGCCTTCGTAGCGGGTGTCGATGGCGCCTGCAAAATATTCGTTTTTCGGAGCTTTCCCATTATCGGGGGGTGGGGGAAACCAATTTTTGTGTTAGGATCTAATTTTTAAAACCTAAATAGTGGATGCGTCTTTTAATGGTTTTTACTATTCCTAAACCTGCAAACTACTAAATTTTTGTAAAAAAAGACAAAAATCTTGCGAAATGCGGGAAAAAGGACCCACACAAAATAGGGAGGATACGGTGCAGTCGGCGTCGATTTGGGGAAAGCCACCAGATGAGAGAGTGATTCCCGAGCCAATCGAACAAACAACCGATGCAGGCACACACTTGTCGCACTAAAAAAATACGGATAGAAATCATAGTATACTTCGCCCGCCACCCTGGTGGGCCCCCCCAAAAGGTGGGCAGGGGTGGGGGTGGAGGGTGGGCAGAGGGTGGGCGCCGGGGGTGGGCGGAGGGTGGGGGTCAGGGTGGGAGACGACCCCCCCCCCCCCGCCAAGGGAAGCCATCAAATCTACAGCCGAGAAAATAGATCACATAGGTAATGAAGCTTTTTATAGTGTTTTAGTTAGTAATTTTTTTGTTGCTAAAAAGGCACATAAAATTCTTAACAAATTTTACGCTCTTCGGTCATTTTTCATACATTTTTGATCAAAAAGTCAATATTTTTCGTAAATTTTTATAATTTTGATGAATTTTTGTACCGTTTTCCGCTATAGAATCCCAGTGGTTGCATTTTCTCCAATCACCCCACGGGAGGAGTGCCCTTAGAGAATTTTTTTTGCTTTTGAAAAAAATTTGTGGGGTTTTATTAAAGGAAATTCCCTATCCACAAACTGTGCAAAATGATAAAAAAATGGTCGTTATAGGACCATACGGTTCTATACAATCAATAAACTTGGCTAAAGGCTAGCTTTTTCGCTAGTCTTACAGTGGGGTGGGCGTCCAGGGTGGGTGGGGGGTGGGGGTGGGGGTGGGGTGGGGAGGCGACCACCCCCACCCCCCACCCCCCACCCACCCCCCGCGCCCACCCCCTGCCCACCCCTCGCGCCCACCTTTCCCCACCTTTGGGGTGGGCCCACCAGGGTGGGAGGCGAAGTATAAATCATAGCCTTCCGCTAACGTGTCTGGCACAGGACGCGGTAAGAGTCTAGGAAACCCCCTCCCCAAAGCCGCAACTTTTCAGCCATACGTCCTATTAATGCGCAAAGTATCTAAAAATGTTCGCCGTGCTCGAATTACTATAACAGAAATTGTTTCCTGACGCCAAAAATTGCTAGAAAATTTTTTACTAGCTTTTCAAAAGTGAAAAGATAAGTCGCGATGCTTCAATGTACCACGGGTTTCGAACTCAAAAATTTTAATTGTTCGCTAATTTTTTTGACTCAAAGGTACTGTAGGCTTATTCTACGGATCAAGAGCTACATCTTGAGACCATCCACAGCTCTGTAGGACAAAAGATAGCCGAGATACGAAACTCACTTTAGACTATCAAAAAGTGACTAAAGAAAACGCAGTCTTATAATCGTTAGAAAATTTTTCTAACAAATGTTGATGTAAGGGAACAACTTTTTTAGAGTAATTCGACCACGGGAAACATTTTGAGATACTCGGTGCATTCATAGGACGTATGGGTGAAAAGTTCTGGCTGCTTTGGGAGGGGGAGGGGCTAGGGTTGGGTTTTGGCGCAACCGGTTTCCGATCGATCGCTTTGCATATCCTAAACGGTTAAATCGTGGGACGAAAACCGGTTTCCTGCTTCAAACCGATTTAAATCGGTTCACGAGGCAAAACCGGTTTTTGCCAGGCTCGGAAATCGGTTCAAGGTAAGAAAACCGGTTTTTCACGATTCGGTCCCGGAAGTGAAACCGGTCTTTATGCAAATAATATTAATTCTAATCAACTCAGACAGCGTGATTGCTACTTCATTGTTCGGGCTTTTCCAGTCGTTTCAGATTGTCTTTTCGGTCACAGTTATAGAAAAGGCAAGGTATTTTTCCGCTTTCACGCGCGGACCCGACTGTTACCTACTCCTTAGATTGTACTCGATCATTTTGAAGCGCTCCAGGCTCGCACCATCGTTTAATATGACATTCTAATCGTTTTTCTCTGCTCCATACATTGCTGACAAGCTAAAACAGAACTCGATTTCCAAAAATTTATGAAATTTGAGGCTTTACATTACCGCAATTTGAATAATAAGTGTGCTGGGGATTTGCATAAAGACCGGTTTCACTTCCGGGACCGAATCGTGAAAAACCGGTTTTCTTACCTTGAACCGATTTCCGAGCCTGGCAAAAACCGGTTTTGCCTCGTGAACCGATTTAAATCGGTTTGAAGCAGGAAACCGGTTTTCGTCCCACGATTTAACCGTTTAGGATATGCAAAGCGATCGATCGGAAACCGGTTGCGCCAAAACCCAACCCTAGGAGGGGCTATCTCTGCTCCCCGTTATCCTACAGGTGTGTTAAGTATACCAAAATACTCGTGAGAGCAAGACAAACATTTTGGTATACTTTACACACCTGTAGACCAACAGAGAGCCGAGAGACAAAGGCAAAACCGCCGGGCAAACCGTCGTACCAAGAAGTGGTGTTCCTTATGGTATTTGATGAAGTCGGGATAGTCCTTCATCAGTCCCTCTTTTATCAGCCATTCATACGCATAGCACACCCACGGACGCGGCACAGAACACTGAAATTTGAACGGTACTGAACTGTTAGCGGGGGGACCAAGTTTTTCCCTGTGTTTCTCTACGGTCCTACAACAAAATATAGACCATTTTCAAAAACTAATAAAAACACTAGAATATAAATACAGAATATATCATCAACAGGTAGGTAACGGGATGTCCCAGTCCCTTTAAGTGGCTTACTTCCTTAGTCGGTGCAACGACTAGGGGTGTCGTCGTCGACGCGCCAACCTCCACGACGCCGGCATGGCTGGAAAATTTTAAAGCTTCCGTGACAATACTCTTAACGCCCCCACCAAATCTCGACAAAAATGAAGAGCAGGAGGATGTGGAGGAGAAATGGCCGAACAGCCATCCAGTGTGAGAGTAGCCTAGTGGAATGCCGGGATTACGGCGAAAAATTGTCGATTTTTAAGCTTCAAGGATTGATATGTTATTTTTATGCAAATTGCCCAATGCATAAGTTTTTTCGTACGTTTAGGGTCTTTAAAAATAGCTTTTCTTTAGGTCTGAAAAATAGCCATAGATAGTACGCCTCTGTGTCAATAGGAATGACGCGGAAAAGCTGCAAAAACCAGTTTTGCCCGATTTTGAGAGGGTGTGAAATGGTTTTTCCGCTAGGCTACTGTATCTTGTACTGTACCCTGTTCTTTAAAAGAAGAATAAAACTGACTGTGATATACAGTACGCCAAGGTGTCGATAGTAATGAGGTGGAAAAATTGAGCCAAACTTGATTTTCGCAATCATCAAAAATTTTATGTTTGGGGGTTCGTTTTAGGCATGGATTTTTCAATTGTAAATGGCGAAGGTGTTTTGTAAACCGTTGTTTCCTATTTCTAAGCATAAAAGTTCCACAAATTTATATTGAAAATCCAAAAATATCGATTTTTCGACCAAAATGGCCTTTTCACCAGAATTTCGGCTTTTTTAAACCTTTTGAAAAATTTTGGATAGTTTTTCTAGGTGAAATCTAGCTTTGGTTCAAGAAAAATATTATTAAAATGTTTCCTATTAACTTACTAGCCATTTCTAGGCTAATACAAAAAAATTCGATCCCCCCCCCCCCGATAATACAAAAGAACCGAATTTCTTAATATCATTCTAAATTTTCGACATTTTTAAAGTGACCCCCGGGAGCAGGGTTGGTCATGATGATCGAAAGTCCGTCCGCGTCCGTCCGCGTCCGGACGGGTCCGGACCCGGGGATGCAAATTGCGGACAGGTCCGGACGCGTCCGGACCGGACGGACAGGTCCGGACGCGTCCGGACCGGACGGACGCGTCCGGACGCGGACTCAACGGACGCTAAAGAGTCCGCCGGACGCCGGAAGGTCCGCGATGCAAAGTGCAGATAACCATGTTAATTCAATAGTCAGCGGCTTAGGAAGGCGCATCACCACAGACCTAATTTGAATATTTCGTGTCGACTTGGATTATGACAAAAAATAATTGTCAATTGTCCAAATAGTCACACAAAAGCAAGTCGGAAACGAAAAAACTGGTACTAAACCTCAAGAACAATAGAACATTGAACTAAAATCTTACAGCTTTTTGTTTGCTCAAACTTTTTTGGCGCTTTCCCTTGGACAGTGGCAGTGATTTTTGTGTTTTATTCTAAGTCAACATCAAGGATGCAAATTAGGTTATACCAGGGTTGAAAAGCCGCTTCGCGACTTTTCAACCCTGGCCCCGTCTAACCCCATAAAATTCTTCGCTTTGCATATTTCTTTCGAATTGCGATGAGAAAAAATGAAAAATGACACTCTCTACCTGATTATATAGGCTACCGCCACTTCCGGTGCATGCTAATTGTTTCCTAACAAAGAGGGTGGCCGAAATTTTTATATACACTGAAATTTAATATTTAAAACAATTAGTTTTGTAAAATCTGATAAGCGTGCAGTCATCCCAGAGCCATTACGGATCTAATGACGTATCATATATACCTTAAAATTTATTCCCTATCGAGATATCCTCCGGACATGGTGACGGAAGTTGCATGCAAAGTATCACACACACACACACACACAAACACTATTTTTTTATATATAGTAGGATTCCTACGCCTTCCTAAACCAGGGACTCCTGAATTAGCATCCGCTTCTGTGCTTTGCATCGCGGACCTTCCGGCGTCCGGCGGACACTTTAGCGTCCGTTGGGTCCGCGTCCGGACGCGTCCGGACGGACGCGGACGGACGCGGACGGACGCGGACGGACGCGGACCCCCGATCATTGTGACCAACCCTGCCCGGGAGTCATTATTTGCATGTAGATGGACGCGTGTCCCCCAAAGGACCCTCCTCAACTCCCCAGCGGGTATTACCGTACCCCCCCCTCCACTCGCTGTGTCGATAGGTGTATCGCGGACACTTCAGACTCCTCCGACAATGCTGTGAACTGAGGTCCAGTCAACCAATTCAAAGCCACCCCAAACCCCCATTTTTGATCATCCCGTCCTTGCGATGTCGCTACGTAAAATTACCGTATTTTTGCTGTTTAATTTTGTTGCTAAAGGTAAGTTTTTCAAGCTATTTTCTTCAAGGGTTTTTTTCCTTCAATGGCCCTTTAAAAGCTAGAAAAATTAAAATTTTGATAAAAGTTGAATTCCACAATTCTCTTTGCTAGCTTGCCTGGGGTTAACTGGGGCTGAAAAACATAGAAATCGTGAAAATTCGACAAAACGCGACTTCTTAAATGGTCTCTGCTAGTTTGCCTTGTCTTCAATGGCTCTTTAAAGGCTCAGAAAGCTTAAAAATTGGAGGAATTCGACTTCCTCAAGGATGTTGGCTAGCTTGCCTTTTCCTGACGGTCGATTTTTTGGTACTGGTTGGTTAGCGGGGGGGGGGCAAGACAAACGCCCCCCCGTTAAGGAACCAAAACCAATTTTGCTTTCAACAGCTCCTGAAATGCCAAAAAAGCGATTTCCTCAAGTGTTTCTGCTAGCTTGCCTATTTTCGGACATATTTAAGCTTCAACGGCCCTTTAAAAAAAGCAGCAAACCTCCGAAATTTCAAAAAAAATTCATTTCGTTTTTGACGCTATTTAATCAATGTAAAAATTACAAAAATTGTTGTAGATTGCACTTCAATGGTCCTTAAAAATTGCTGAGAAGCAAGGACCGGTTAGCAAAGACAATTTGCTAACTTTAGTTCTATGCGATGGGTGTCGTCTGGATGGAACGCTGCTGGGTACCTACAAGAAACCCTCAAAACCCATCATGGTCCCCTCGTTGGACGCCACATTTCCACGACCACTACTTTACGAAACGGTGGTTTTTTTTTTTTTTTTTTTTTCTTTTTTTTTTTTTCTTTTTTTTCCCCCTTTTTTTTTTTTTTTCCCGTTTTTTTTTTTTTTTTTTTTTTTTTTTTCCTTTTTTTAATTTTTTTTAAATTTTTTTTCTTTTTTCTTTTTTTTTGGCAATGCATAAACGCCTTTTCCCAAATTTCAGAAGTTCTACGGTGTTTTTGGGCCTAAAATAACAGCTCGCTTTACACATCAATAAGCGCGCTTTTTAGCTGACGATCGGCGAAACTTCCATATCGGATTTTGGGGAATGCTACGAGAAGCTCCACGATTCTTATATTTTCGGCCAAAAGTACGGTAGATTTAGTTTTTTCAGAGGCATATTTGATGAGTCACGGCTTTTGAAAGGCGAGCGTCGTTAAAAATTGAATAAAAAAGATGTTGAAATCTTGCATTAGTTCTCAATCAATTTAGATTTTCACTGCAATAATAAATTTTATATTTCCAATATTTTTTCAGACGTATGGGCCGTCCGCTTTGCTATCGTTGCGTGACGCCGATCATTCGAACACGCAATGTTATTCAGCTGGCTCATCAGGATGGTACGGTAGCTGAGAATCTGATTTATTACTTTCCAGGCGATTACTGCCATCAGAGCATCGAAGAAGCCAGGAAAACATGTTTTGATTCTCACTCCATACGACCATTGGAGGGAACTTTCATTTTTCGTGAGTTTCGGCGAAATTTGGTTGTCTTCCCCCCCCCTTTAAAAAAGAATCCCTCCTTTAATCTTTAAATTTAAAGGGAGAAAAAACCAAATTCCCCCCCCCACCCCCCTTAAAAAAATTTTTAAAAAAAAACACAAAAAAAAAAAAAACGTTTACACTATAAAAACCCCCCAAAACCCCAACCCCCCAAAAAAAAAAAAAAAACCCCCCCCAAAAAAATTGTTTTTTTTTTTTTATTTTTTTTAAAAAAATTTTTTTTTTTTTTTTTAAAACTTTGGCGAAAATTTTTACGCTATGAATCACCCAGATCAATCGATTGCGCAATGAAATTCCAGGAAGTACGAACCGTGACTATGTGAGTTGCGAGCTGGAGGGTCGATTCGCCGTCTCTTACCACTTGAGGAACACGAATTTGACATGTGAAGGGCACAGCACTGACACTACGGTAGGCTAGAAAAGCCACTAAAAAACCTTTTTCAACGATTTTAAAGGAAAATTTAAGCCAAATTAAACCCATTTCCAGGCTGAAAACTGTCAAGTCGCCTCACGTTTGGACATCAAATTCCGCGGGTGTACTTTCCCGGATTTTGGTAAGCTGTTAGGGATTTGAAATTTCTAGGCTAAGCTACAAACTATGCCTTTGGCCGGGCTACAGACTACAAAATCATAGTCAGCTACAGACTACAGAGTACAAGCCAAATTATGGCTACAGACTACAAAATCTAGCACTTGGGCTTTGGACTACACAATAAAATAACGAATTTTGTGCCCGAAATAGGCTTTAGAATACAAAAGACTACAGACTACAGAGTCCAAAATATATCAAATTTCAGGCTACAAACCACAAAATAATAGAAGTTTTTTAGACATGTCAATGCAATGCCTCGGGACGTGGAATGGACCCAGCGGGGAGCGGTATTTGATTTTTGAGAATGAGGAAAATGAGGAATTTCGATGCGGGGTACGTTACGTTCCAAGTGACACGCTACCGTAACCCGAAATTCGCATCCAAAGCCCTTAAAGGACCATTCAAGGTCCATTGAAGGCAAAAATGGGCGCCAATGCGCAGGATTCCGCTAGATTCCGCTCGAAATTCCGTTCAATCGATTTCGAAATCTTCAATCCGAAAATGAAAATCTTTAGATGTCACAGCCCCTTTAAAGCGTTACGTTCCAAAAACCGGGCGACCGTATCAAAAAACTCGAGTTTTTTCAGCTAGTCCACCCGGCTGCCGACCATATTACGGTCCATTTGAGCAACGACTCCTCTTGTGCCCATCTCAACCGCCATAATGCCTACGAGACGTTCCGCTTTAAGCCGAGTACGGTAGTTTTAAAGGGGTGGTGACAGGCCTGAATTCCCCTTTAAAACAACTTTTTTAGCCTCTCTATCCAAACCTCTCTCCCCGTGCGAATTCCCTGCCTGGCTACGAGGACAGTACACTACTGTTGACGTTTCCGCAGAACAGCTACAGTATCATCAGGTACCCTAAAAGACCGATCTGCCGCCCTTTCCCCGATTTCCGCAACGATCTCCGCTGGCCTGCCCTGAAAACGTCAAATTTTGAGACCAAAATGGCTTGTTTTTTGCATTAAAAAGGCGATTTCTCTGCTGGTTCCTATTCCAAAAAGATCTCTGCTAGCCTGCCCAAATTTCCTTGTTTTTCAGGGCTCCTCCGACTCCATTCCCATCGTTTCCTATTGCGTCAATTCTCAGCATGGCGAGCGGATTCTCGTGTATTCGGAATCGAAATGGTGAGAGAGCGTGAGAGAGCGAGAGATAGAGAGAGCGAGAGAGGGACCGAGAGATAGAGAGAGAGCGAGCGAACGAGCGGTAGAAAGTGAGAGAGATAGAGAGAGCGTGAGATAGTGAGTGAGAGCGAGAGAAAGAGAGAGGGAGAGGGAGCACGGGAGAGACCGTGAGAGAGAGAGAGAGAGCGAAAGAGTGATAAATCCATTTTTTAGCGGCGAACCCCTTGGTTATCATTGTCTCTGGTTCCGAATGAGAAGTGATTCCGTACTGGAATTTCGGACGACAGCCGCTCAGGAGACACTCAATAATAGTTTATGCCAGTAAGTCAGTTGAGGGGCGTAGGCTAGCAAAGATTCTTGAGGAAGCTTTTCGAAAGTTTGACGAAGGGAATCAGAAATTGTCATTTCCCAAGGCAGGCTAGCAGAGATTTTTGGGGGAAATTTGATAAAAGTTGCGCCCTTTTGCTTGACAATCTAGCAGCGACACTTTGTGGAATTTAGGCTGTCCCGTTAATGCTTATTTTAAAGGGACGAGAAGCTGTTCGCGAGTGTTCCATGGACTTCCGTTTCTGTGAAGAGACCGACTCCTGTGGCTTGTGGATTGGAGGTAAATTCGAAAAAAGACGCTTTTTGCGACAAAATAATTTCAGGGTCTCTACCGTACCCCGAAAGAGCTCCAAACCGACGATTGCTACGCATTGGAAGTGGATTGTAGCGGAAAAAGGGACAATCTACGGTTGAAGGCCTATCATTGTGCTAGCGGGACGGTTTTTGATGGTACGGATTTAGCGTCAAGTGTCTTTTAAAATTGCAAAACATGATTTTTTTTCATACAGGCTAGGAGTAGCCCTTTTTTGTAAAAAACTTTGGAGTCAAAATAAAATTGTGGAAATTTCCGAAATTCAGGACTTAAAAAAAATGATTTTTAGAATTTTTTGATACCTTTTCTGACTTCAGCGGCCCCTTAAAATTGTCTGAAAAATACTTTAAAGTGCAATCTGGCTGGTAGTAAAGTCTTTAAATGACCATTGAAGCAAAATTCCAGAATCCCTTCTTTTTAGCCCGTTCGTATCAATGCCTGGGCAGTTGGTTCGACGGTCCATTTATGTATTTGTACGCCAGGCGGATCGGGGAGGATATTCATGCTTGTTTTGTGAGTTGGATCACAGACTACAGACTCTAAAATACAATTTTTAGGTGACCCAAAAGCATTCAAATCGCCTATTCATCGCCTCATCGGGGGCACACTGCAGTCGAGACTTCAGCTTTGAGAACAATATGAATACGACGCTGGTGTTGGGACAGGAAGGTGAGAGAGAGAAAGGAGAGAGAGAGAGAGAGAGAGAGAGAGAGAGAGAGAAAGAGAGAGAGAGAGAAAGAAAGAAAAGAGGAGAGAGAGAGAGAGAGAGAGAGAGAGAGAGAGAGAGAGAGAGAGAGAGAGAGAGAGAGAGAGAGAGAGAGAGAGAGAGAGAGGGAGAGAGAGAGGGAGAGAGAGAGAGAGAGAGAGAGAGAGAGAGGGAGGGGGGGGGGTGAGAGAGTGAGGGGCAGTGAGTGCGAGATTGCGAGAGAGAGAGAGAGAGAGAGAGAGAGAGAGAGAGTGAGAGATATTGGGAGAGAGAGAAAGAGAGAGAAAGAGAGCGAAAGAGAGAGAGAGCGGAGTGAGAGATGAAAGAGAGAGTAGAGATCCTTCAGATGCAGGCTAACAGAGAATCTGTGAGGAATTAGACCTTATTCCTGGGTTCTAATTCCATCTTTCAGCAAACTGCACATCGGCCCCAACCTCTCGTCCTCCCTCTTCTCTTTCTCCTCAGAATACCCTCCCCGGCCATGATGGTCCTCACCGGAAGCCCATGTCCAAGCTCAGCCCAGCCCATGTCGATTTACAACCGAATCTTGGGCACGGAGGAGGAGGGATGATGGCTGGGGTGAGTTGGGTTTAAAGGGGGGTGGGACAGGTGCGGAAAAACGGATTTATTTGTACATTTAAATTAATGACGTACTGCGTGATTTTTCTTCAAATTTCATGGCGTAATAGGTCTGTCCTCCGTCGTTTTTGCCGGTTTTTAGGGTCCTGATCCTGATTTTCCTCAAGGATCACTCCTACCTGCCCGTTTTTAGGTACCCACCTTCCGAGGGACACCAAATAACGTGCAACCGATACCGGACGAAGATGGAGACGGGGGAGGAGCAGGAAGTGCAAGAGCTGGCGGAGCAGGAGATGAAGAAGAGCCTCAACAACAGCCCGTACCAAATCAACAGGTAGCCCTATTTCCGAAAGGCTCTTTGCTAGTTAGCCCTTATATGCGATTACGGTAACATTTTCAGGACCCATCCCTGTCCGGATTCTTCTCGTCGTCTGCCCCTTCTCTCCCTATCTTGATCTTTTCTCTATTTCTCTGCCTTCTCTGCGTCTCTTCCCTCTTATGACTATTCATTGTCGCCTGTCGCCATAGGGCCATCTACTGGCTGCAACGCTAGACGTAGCCGGTAGGTCTCTCTCACTCTCTCTCTTCTCCCTCTCTCTCACTCTCTCTGTCTCTCACTCACTGTTATTCCCTCTCTCTTTCTCGCTCTCTCTCTCGCTATCTCTCCGATTCACTGACAGGCGACAATTTTCAAAAAATCAAACTCCTAATTTTTTTTGTCGATTTCGGGTCCAAAACTAAACCAATTTTGTGAAAAGGTATTTTCAAAATCTAAATTCTTTTTTTGCGAATTTTTCGATAAACTGATAGCAATGAACAATTCACAGCACACTTTGTGGGGTCGATGGTATTGTAGCGGAACTGTTGAGCTCATCAGCATTTGGCGGTTGCTGGGGCAAAGCCGACAACTCGGCGATCCCATCCAAGGAATAGGCATTGGTCTACCATCACCGAATAGCCGAAACTGGAACGGGAACATACGGGCTACAAACTGGAAAATAGGCTACAGACTACAAACCATGAAAAAACACAGGCTGGAAAACACAGGTTACAACCGATTTTTTTTTTCAGAAACCAGAAAAACAAATAAATTTTACCAAATTTAGGGGATTTTAGGCCTGGGATAGGCTACAAAATACAAAGGACAAACTATGAAATAGGCCACAGGCTACGAACTACACGCCAAAAATTTCGGGAAAACAAACGAAAATTTTTTAACAGGTAAAGAAGCGTGTTTAAGCGATAAATTTCAACCATTAATTAAGACTACAATTTTGATAATTTAGACGGACTACGAACTATAAGCTACAAGTATAACTATAGACGTACACCCATGCATTGAGGAATCCGGTGGCCTTTATCGGGTACGCGATGAGACGGCAAGTAGCGGGGAAGTCCGCGAATTTGTCGATGTACGCTGGAATACTGTTGACGTTGCTGGACGGTATCTGATTCAATGGTTCAATTCAATCGCAGAAAGAAAGAAAAAAATTAAGAGCATGCCAAAATCCTACCTGTTGCTCCCAGTGTTACCGTTCCGTTGGTCAGCTTTAGAGAAATTTGCGGAAAATCCTCATCACAATCGATGTACGGCTAAAAGGCGCACTTTAACATTTTGATTCTGAACTTTTAAGACGCCTCTAACGCAGCTTAAAGCGCACGTTCAGGGAGGGGCCGTGTACTTGATCCAACGTGTACACCCTATGGACGTAGGGACCGCGCGCACTGCCTGCCCGTGATGTGACAGGCCATTCCCCTCCTTTGCGGGGTGGGGCGCCCCTCGCCCCCTCGCCAGGTTGTAGCTGTGGCTGACTGGTATCCATCCGCGCCTCCCGAGGGGGGGCCCGGGTTCGACCCCCGGCCGCGGCAAAACTCTTGGTTTTTTCGAAAAAACGTCCCTGAACGTGCCCCTTAAAGCAATCGTAGCCATCGTATTTTGAGAAACCAATTTTGTTTTGCCCCACAGATATCGAGTTTTTCGTACAATCAAGAAAAAGTTAGCTTCTACGTTCTTTTAAAAGTCCTCGTAATCCTTGAAGCAAGCAAAAAAAACTCACAAAATTTGCGGACGGATCAACGCCAAGTACTTTTGCAACTTGCGCATACAAATCGTCCGGCATTCCGAGAGCCAACTACAAGCAAAAATTGCATACTTATAGTTTATATTCCGTACCTGTTGGATATTTATCGTTGCAATTGTTCCCTTTTTCGAATCATAACCATTGTAGGTAAAGCTGGAAATAATCGCAAATATAGATTTTAAACGGTTTTTCCTGGAATCCATTTTCGAAAGTTGGCCAACGGCCGATATGGCCGTTTTGTCGACTCAATTCTTAAATCTTCCTAAAGCCTTCGTTTTTTACTCTACTCTTAACAAACAGTAAAAATGCGTTCCAAAATGGTCTCTGCTAGTTGTCAGATCTTTAAAATCCATGGAAATGCCTTTAAAAAATTGCTGAAAACCGAAAATTGCTTGAAAATCAATCGAAAAGTTCTGAGAAATCATCGTCGAATCATCGATTTTCGCATATTCTGACAGGCAGAAAAGCAGAAAAATGGCATTACCTCGGTATGTGAAGGCTCCACTGTTCATCGTAGTAGATCGGAGTTTCGATATATTGTCGACGATCACAATGTGCAGAGTCAAGATGGGCTGACACTGAGAAGATACCCACCGTTTCTTGCAGTCTAAAAGACACCAAAAATTGCTGAAAATTCCTCAATTTGCACTGCTAGCCTGCTCCCTTCGCAAAAATCTCTGCTAGCTAGCCTCCAGCGTAGAATTTTGTCGCTTCAAATGGTCTCTGCTAGCTTTCCCTGGGCACAAGCAACAATCGAAAGTACGACTGGAAACTCCCAACTTTTCACTGCTAGCCTGCCCCTTCCCAAAAATCCTGGCTGGCTTCGAATATAGAATTTTTTCGGTCCAAAATTGTCTCTGCTAGCGTGCCCTGGGCAAAAAGCAATAGAACTGCCCAAATTCCGAAATTTTCACTGCTAGCTCGACCCATCTTCCGCAGTAGTCTCTGCCACATACCCTCCCTGATCACAGGTATAAGAATTGAGTGTGACTCCTTTTTCGTAATCCGCATCATTCAGAAATGCCACTGCAGCCACGTCAAGTTTGGGAGATCCCTAAATATCAATCGAATTCCCTGCTAGCCTGCCTGTTGTGGAAAACCCAATCCCATAATCCCTGATATTCCATTTCCGGGGTATTCATTCGAATTGTTCGAGGCGCTGTCGATTAGCGCAAAATAGAGGATATAGTCTTCTGAAAAAATGGGTTTAAATTGGTCACTCTCTCACTCTCTCTTACACTCTCTCAGTCTTTCTCTCGTTCTCTCTCGCTCTCTCGCTCTCTCTCTCTCTCTCTCTCTCTCTCTCTCTCTCTCTCTCTCTCTTGAAAAATTGAAACCAAAGGAAACGCACGAAACAGCTCGACCTCGTGGTTGAATTGAAAGGATTCCATGCACACCCTTCCATTCATTCTCATTTGTGACCCATCCACCGTAGCCGTTAAATTTGTATAGGTGCTGTTCATCCATTCGAACGTATCGGAAGCCCTGGAATGGTAAACTACAGACTACAAACCATAAAATTTTATACCTCCCGAAATCGCAAAGCATACAATTGTTTTTCGAATACAAGCGATAAACTAGAAAGCGCTGTTCAGCCAAAATCTATCGAGTTAAGGCAAGTACAAACTACAAAACAATTAACAGCTATAAACCACAAATTTCAGAAGCTCGAAAAAGTTTCAAAAACCGGTTTTATAGCGTTGTTTCTGGGGTTTTTTTGAGAAACCAAATCAAAGGATACAGACTACAAACTCCAAAAACGCCCTTACTCTTCATCAAACGCCCAGGCGGGCCGTGTGAAATTCTTGCTGAATATCAGCAAATCAGCGCTCGTCGTTGTGAGCGAGATTTTTTGCATCGGTTGGTAGGCTAAAATCAGAGCTTTTTGGCTTTTAAAATATTCGCTTTCTGTAAGGTTGCTACAATACTCCAGCGGGCCATTCAGTAAAGATCTCTGCTAGCCTGCCCTTCCCTTCTCCTTAAAACTCACGAGTTCCAATGGACAACCCCTTGACGTAGGGGCCAATAGTTGGGATGCCCTTTTCATCGCGTAATGATCCTGATGAGTAGGACGATAACATGTCGTAATGCAATCGACGCTCAGCGCTAAAACAAGTAGTCTCTCCACCTCGCACTCTTTCTCTCTCTCTCTCTCTCTCTCTCTCTCTCTCTCTCTCTCTCCTCCCTCCCCTCGTCCGCCCCGTCCCCCCCCCTCCTCCCTCCCCCCGCCGCCTTCCTTTCTCTCACTCTCTCTCTCTCTTTCTCTCACTCACTCTCTCTCCCTCTCTGTCTCTCGCTCTCTCTCTCTCTCACCTAGATGGTCCACGCAATTCCACGACGATCCCATCGACGGCTAATGAAAATAGGAAGGAAAAGGAAAATAATGTATAGGCTAATTTTGCAGCCATTTTCGAAGGGATAGAGAGAAGAGCAGAAAACGAATTCGCTGTCCGTTCGAATCGGATTAGTTCTTATCAAAAGTCCAAAAACTCGAAAAACGGCCGCCAAAATGGACAATGAAGCTTTGCGAAAATTTAAATCGAAAATGTATGTTTTTGTTGCTTGTAGTCTATGGTCTCGTCGATGTAAGTGATTTGAAGTGTAATTTGTAGCTTAGCGCGCATCCCATGAATTCCATAATTTCATCTGATGTTTTAGTATTAGAGACAAGCCGAAAATTTCGTAAAAATAAAGTTTAGAAAATAGAACCTTTTTTAGTATTAATAAATTCAGTTTTATAGCTAAGAAACGACGATTTCTACGGCTAAAAATGCAGCAAAATTTTGTCGTAATGTAGAGATCTCAGAATTGCCTAGAAAAACGTAGCCTATAGCCTGGCGTAAAAAAAACGACGAATTTCCGCCCTATCTGCTTTTTAGGAAATAAGCATATTGACAAAAGCACCTTCTGTAAGTTGTAGTTTGTAGTGTAGCGTAGCCAACGGCAAAATGCCCTGGAAGATATGGATTTATTGAGGGAAAAAAATCATTAAGACATCCATTATGCGAAACAACCATCATAGTAGATCAGTATGTATTACAGTATTTTCAAGTACCAGTTTCAAACGGATTCGTGGGGTTTTTTTTGGAATCTGAAGGAGATGCGGGAGCAAAATAACTGATGCGTAAAGGGGGAGCTGGTCTGATAGCCGGGGGGGGGATAATTTTCGTTTTTTCCATAGCGTTTTAGTCGTTTTCTTGCCCGAATGTTATGAAAAATATTTCTAAAAAATTGAAAATCGAAAAGTTAACTTTTTTGGGTCATTTTTCAAACATTCTTACCCCAGAAATGTTCGAAAATTCTTAACGAATGAAATTTAACTAACTATTTTACCTTTAAAAAGTTAAGAAAAAACAAAAATTAGAAAAAAAGAAAATCGATTGCGAGGTTGCGACCCCCCCTTCCCCCGCTAAGAGACCAGTGCCGCGAAAAAAGCGGACAAAGGAATGGGACGGAAAGAATCTTTGGCATTCCAACAATAATAACAAATTTGCGCAAACATGGGAAAAATATCAGGAAACTCGGGATTTTAAAAATAAAGGAAAATCAGCATTTTAAAAAGGAAATCAAGACAATTTGGGCGAAAATTACGCCATTTTTTTGGAAAATATGTACAGTAATACAGCCCTTTTAAAAAGTCAAAAATAGCATTCAAATCCGAAATTATTCGGCGCCCTCCTCCGGCTTCGAATTGAACGTTATGACGATGCGGAGCAGCTCGTTCTCAAATTCGTGCGCCAACTGGGGAGACCTGAAAATGATAAATAGCTTGTTTTACGATTAAATATATCGTCTAATTAATCCAATTAAATTAGTCAATCAATAAAATCAGAGTAGATTAATTAAGGCAAATTAAAGAAATCGTTTTAAAGGGATCCGGAAGTCGGCTTCTAATCGATTATGCGATAAAAATTATTTTGCGTTTTTGTATTCTTTTAATTTCCTGAATTTTTAAGGCCAAGCAGACTAGCAAAGATAAGAAACCAGACGGGGGGCTAGCAGAGGTTTTTGAGGCAAATATTCAAAAGCGGGTGGCTTCTATCAAAAAAAGCGCTGAATTCGAACCGATTACGGCACCGAATCCGTGACCCTTTCACGGTCAGGGCAGGCTAGCAGAGATTATTCAGGGAATTCAAGCCTAGCCAGAGCAGAAATTATTTAGGATTTTCGAGGAGAGCTAGCAAAGATTCTTTGAGGAAAAATAACTGAAAAGGTCGCTGAATAAGAAAAACGGGGGTCTTAATCCGCTACGCGATAAAAATGTTCATAAAAAGGTACGCTTCGAGAAGCGGGCAGGCTAATATAGATTATTCAGGAACTACGAGGCCAGCTAGCAAATATTTTTGAGGAATGTCGAAGCTAGCTAGCAGATTTTTTGGGAATTTGTAGGCTAGCTAGCAGGGTTTATTTAGTAATTTCGAGCCGAGCTAGCAGAGGTTATTTAGGAACTTCCAAGTCAGCTAGAAGAGATTCTTTGAGGAAAAACAACATAAAAAGCTCACTTCTTGTAGAATTGGTTGAACTTGTCGAGGACAAAGGAGATGACGGGAGGGAGGGATGGTTGCGGATTGTTGGAAGTCTTTGAGGGGCCTGTAGATGGCGATGCGGTAGATGTGGATTGGGCGAGGGCTTGCAGAATGTCCAACGTCTTCTGCTCGTCATCCTCTGCGGTTATCGACTGAGTGGCAGACATTCCTGCAAAAAATAGGTCAAATACAGTAATTTTGTAAATTATCATGATTTTTTGATAATTCTTAATTTTAATTTTTTAACTAACTTTTAATTTTCAAAAATAGTTTAAAAAGCTGATAATAGAACTAAAATTTGCTTTCGAATTTTTCTGCTAATTCTTAACGTCAACATTTTTTTAATTAATTCTTAATTTACTAAAATAAAAATAAAATATTCAAAATTTTTCATTCTTGTCTTTATTTTAGTTTATTCGAAATCGTCATTTCTAAATCGCCTATTTTTTCAAATGATTAAGCTAAAAATCTTCCAAAATAGTTGTATCATAAACGTAGTTGAACAACGAAAGAAAATGCATTTTGAAGAAATTCGTTACTTTAAAAAAAAGTTTTTTAAAAACAAATTATCTTCCAAAAATCCAGGAAAAATATTTAAAAGCTAAAAACGTACTCTCAACGCCACTCTTCCTGCCATTCGCCTTGGTTGCCGGCGTTCTCGCTGGCGTCGACGTCGAAGCCGACTAAAAAAGTTTTAGGAAATTCTAAAAACTCTTACGGATTCGGTCATCTCCAGGAAATCCTCGAGTCGCATGCGCTTCGTTGGGGACTCGTCGAGATCGCCTAAAAAACGGATTTTTAGCAATTAAAAAACGGGCGAGAGAGAGAAAGAGAGCGAAAGAGAGAGAGCGAGAGAGAGAGAGAGAGATCAAAACAGAGAGCGAGAGAGGGGGAGCGAGAGAGCTAAACAGAAAGAGAGAGAGCGTGAGAGCGAGAGTGAGCTAGAGAGACAGAGAGCGAGAGAGAGAGAGACAGAAAGAGTGAGAGACAGAGAGAGAGCCGGAAATAGAGAAATCAAAAAATCCCTACCATTAATGCCGCCATCCTCATCCAGCGCATCATTTGCATCAGCATTGAAGAGGGTCTGGAATCGAAGCATTCGCTCCTCTTCCTCTTGACGAAGGCGGCGGGCGCTCAGTTTGTCATCACCCTGGAAAAGTGGTGATTTTATTCGTTCTATTTTCATCCTAATTGCTCTCTGCTAGCCTGTGCAAGCTAAAATTTTCCATTTTTCTTTCAAAAATCTAGATTACAGCGTCTCAAATGGTTTCTGCTAGCCTGCCCAAAGCTCTGATTTTCTCTGCTAGCGTGCAAACAATAATTTTCCACTCTAAAAGCTTTTTGCAAGGGTACTGGACTGCTAGCGGGGGGAGGGGTTTAGACTTTCATTAATTTTGGTTTTTTTTTACCGATATTATCCATTTTTATAGCAGCGTCTTTAGTAGTTTTTGATTTTTAGACACTTCCAAAAGGATTTTTTGAAAATTTGATAATTAGATATGTTTTTTTCACCATTTTCCTAAATTTCTGTCCAAAAGACAAACTTTTTCGATAATTTTTATAATTTGTATGAGCCATTTCTATCTAAAAATGTTTGAATGCTATCAAAATCTTTTATATTTTGTTTCGGACCGTAATGGATTACTCGGAAAAATTCTCCTCGCCCCGCTAAGAGTCCAGTACCAGTCAGCCAGCCAGATAAAACGAAAAACTCTGCATCCTAAACGGTTTCTGCTAGTTTGCCACGGGCCTGAGCCGTATAACTGAAGCCGTAAAAGTCTTTTCCAGTCTTAAAAACGCACGATAATTCCCGGAAAGAGCGACAGGTCCTGCTCATCGTTCGAGATCAATTCATTGGAAGCTCCTCTTCCTCTTGAATTCTCGAAATCCACTCCTCCATTATTCGTCGTATTGGCAAAGACATTGTGGAACAGAGCGAGCGGGTCCATTTTCATCTCGTAACCGCTTGGGATGTCGCCCTCGAAGCTGTCGGCGAGGAATGACAGCGCCTGGTAGTACTCCCATTTCGGCGGGGCGTTTGTCTGAAAATGGGTGTGATTGTAATCGTTAAATCTAGATAAAAACGTTGTAAATAGCTAAATGAGCTAAAATCTCGCTTCTTAAACTTTTAAATTAGCAGCAAAATTCGTAAAACGCCCAAATATGTCAAATTTTCAGAAAAATTCGCTAAAAATGTATTTCGCATGAACATTAAAACGAGGAAAAAATGTTAGCCAAATACGCTAAAACCATACTTTAAATCACTATAAACCACTTTAAAATTATCAGACAAATTCGCAAAACGCTAAAAAAGCGCCTTTTTTTGCACCTAGAATCGATATTTCGAAACCTAAAGTTTTTCGACAATCGCATAAAAATAACGAAAACGATAGTCTCCAACCGATTAGCGCATATCACTAATTTTTCTAGCGTATTTTGCGTTTTTACATGCAAAGACACTTTTCTAAAGCTTTTCCGGATGAACTGGCTCGTTTCCGGCGAGAGACGTCGATTTTCTGGCCGGATTTAGGGCCGCTAATCCCCCAAGATTTCCAAAAATCTCCACGAATTCGTAAAACCGACCGCCCGGGACTCGGTGAAGCGCGTCTTGAACATGTCGCGCATATTCTTGAACAGCTTCTTGCTCGACGCGACTGAAAATAAGGAGGATTAAACGGATTTAAATTTTCATGAGATACAAACGTGAACATTTGAAAAACAAACTTTTTCTAGACTTTATATAGTTTCTTTTTCAGCTTATCTTGTAGAAAATTTTGCGCTGATTCCGAATCTATTATCGAAATTTGCAAAATCGTCGTATTTGAAAAGTTACAAGTATTTTTATAGCATAAAAATAATGCAAACCATCGACTTTCCGGCCT